ACTAAAACATTCTACAGTGTCAATACTGTGCAGCAATGTAAACTCCCTGCTGGTTTGTTCTGTATGCCACATTTACATTGATTAAGTGCAATTAACTCATCATGTTGTCATACAGGTGACGAGCTATTGAAGAGGTGAGAGATCACAGCTGCTGTCTTTCACATCATTAGCTTTTTAAAAAATGCCTTAATCCTAAAATAGTTACAGATTTATTGCACTCTGTTTTGTCAAATCATATTTGTACAGCATGTCTTTGTATTCTATCTGAACAACTCTGTTATAGATGTAGAAAAAGGAATTGTTTATGAAACCTAATGTTTGCATGTCTAAATATTTAATTTACAGAAGCTTTAATATCACATTGGTGCCATTCCAGCTTTTAAATTGCTAAGAGCTCAGATGTGTTGGGTAATTAGCAGGTTTGAATGAACAATTTAAGAGAGAACACAGACTATAATGCAGGTGTTTTTGTGTGGTAATTTCTGCATATTTAACACACACACAATCAAAAAGGAAAAGTATATATATAGTACAGACAAATTGACGAATGGATATATTAAGACATCCTATTATCTCCCTGGAATTATTTAATATAGACACTAACACAGCTTTGACAGAGGTTAAAAACTCCTCCATTTCTCATCTCCAAGCTTGATCTCTTTACAGATTAACAGATTACAGATCTCTTTTTCATGTACAGTACAGTATCTCTTAAAGGTTATATGCCTGGTCTGGGGTCAGGGGTAACATCTCAGTAATTAAATGCAATGCATTACAGGACAGAAATATTTAAACATTTAAGACCACACAATACAGTACATTCCACCATCACCTGATAAATTGTATTTAGCTGTCCTGTCTTGTTATGCATGATGACAATGATGCTGAAGTGGGTGAGGAAGGCAAAGATTTGAATAAACAGGAAGTGTATGAAATTAATACATGAAAATGCTGAATGTAACTTCTTTTCTTTTTCTCACTATCACCACTATTATACCATTCTTAGTATGTCGAACCCAGACTCCATTCTTAAAGGACAAGTTTTTAGATGGGATAACCTGCTTTTTAAAAGCACTCTAATCAGATGCTTGGTGGTATCTTGGTGATTTCAGAGTATCTTGAAAACCTACAAAAGCAGTTTGTCAGTGTGAAAAAGATTTTCTTGAGAAGCAACTATACTGGAAAGCTTTTTTTAGATTTACTATACCATACTTTTCCATACCAGTCATTATAATTCTTTAAACCTGCATCATAAAAGGTCTGTATGTGCATTAGGAATCAAGCTCTCCAGTGGCTTGTTACCAGGAGTCAATCAGTTACACCCTTAGCTCTAACTCACATGAAGCAAGTTAGTGAATCCTGTGAATTGCATCCTGTCTTTTTAATTTAGCTTTGAAAATTAGGTCCTTATTTCATGAGGAATAACTACAGTACATCTAAGAATCAGATGCTTTGTGAATATTTTTGAGTATTTAAGTGTAATACATTTTGGCTGCTTGGTTAAGAGGTAGCCTCTTGGCCAGAGGATGAGGAGAATTGATCCCTCCATTCAAAGAGAGGAGTTAACCAAGAGACAGCTGCCAAGGTGGAGACGAGGTAGAGGTTGGATGAATGTGAAAATAATGTAAGAAAGAGTGTGTGGAAGGGACATATATGTAGCGAAAGTCGGTGATGACTGTGGTTTATAGCATCTGGGTGAAATTAGTTTTTTTCTGTTGTTATCCCTCCTGAACTTCAGTTAAAACTTTCATTTATAAGAGTGCAACAACAGCTGCTCTCTGTATAAGCTGCATTGAATAAGGGCAAGCACTATGTAGTGGTATATTATGTGTTGAGAACCATTACAACTGGATGCTTCTGTGCTTTAAAGAGTTAAGCAATTTTTAATCTTTCTCCGCATGACAAGAGGTACTTTATTTACTGAGTCATTACATGATGTATTCTGCATTTTGTATAAGCAGCTTTGCAGCTCCTATCTTTAGCCATGCAGTGGAAATAGGTGTAGTGGAAATAGCAAGTAGCAGGTCATCTGGCAAACAGTAGAAAGTATTTTTTCCATGCAGCCCTGAGATCCCAGAATAGCTTAATAGGTGTGGTTATATATTAATAATATATGGTTAATTGCCATATAGATAGTAAATTTGGTCATCACTTGTTTCTCTGACTTTACTATCATGGATTTATTTTTTATAAACCTTTTCCTACATGCTTTGGAAATCTTTCATCATTTTTCACATCAGGATGTGGCAAATGTTCAGTGGTGGGTGCAGTCCTTGGATGATACATGTCAATTTCATCCATGGCTCTATGCACTTTCAGAATCCTTTTGAAAACCTTTGGAATAAATGTTTTTACACCTCCTATTTGGAATTTCTGATTGTTAATCAAACCATCTCAAGCCTCCAGTAGGAGGGATGATGACTAGTCATCCCTGGAGGAAAGTGTGCTCTAGTCAGAGCCGTCTGTCATTTTTCATGCTGCAAGGCCCCCAATATAGGTAGTTCTAAGAAACTTGGGTTAAAATGTGAAAACTGTAATCTGATGTTTCTTCATCACAGGTCTCACAGCTGGTTGGTTTATTATATTTTTTATGAATTAGCTTCATTACTCTGTTCTCCTCCCTATGATAGCTCATGTGCGGAGTACTGGCACACTTTGGTTGCCGTTGAATCATCCAGGTGGGGGCTACACATTGGTGGTGGTGGAGGAGAGTTCCCATTCCCATTACCTGTAAAGTGCTTTGAGTGGAGTGTCCAGAAAAGTGCTATACAAGTGTAAAAAGTTATTTATTGGCATCCTGTGGCTGGCAGTAACCCACTTAACAACAACAGCTGCATGGGGAATCTCAGGGAGTGTTGCTAATAACAGAATTACCTGCTCTCCCGTTCAAACACCTTTACAGGTTCTGTCTATCAAAGGGAACAGACCGGACTGACCACTGGTGAAATGATATTTACAGTATCACCATTACTCACAGTTCCTTTTAGTACATTCCTGGGAAGATAAAAAAAACTGTAAAACACATGCAGTATTTTTGTTTTTTTATCACGTTCTGCTTTAATTTTAATCATATTAGTGATTACAAAATAGATAATCCTGTTGATATACTCTCATATGGAAAGCAACTCAAGCCTTGTCTATCTTTACTTAAAATTAGATGGCTTGCAAACAGCCTTGGTTTTGCATTTGACTGCAATATAGTAAATGTAACTGGCTATCACAGATAGCTTGGGTAGCATTTTAATCCTAATGTGTTTGACAGTGAATCATGACATGAGTGCTGGGCTCAGGTGAAGAAGGGAGGAGCAGAGTCTAGTTATCCATGTCTGACAGTGGGTAGAGTGACAGACTGCCAGAGATCATTCTTGTCATCCTCATGCAATCAGAGGTCAGGGTCCTGATGTAATATGGACAATGATTGTTCTTCTTATTAGATTTAATAATCCAGATGTAATGGGGGAATGTGTGACAGTGAAGCACTCCTTCAATCTGTCAACTAGGCTGCTGCCAGATGTGAGTCTCAGCTGTGAGCGTAGTGTCTGCACCATTTCCTTTCCAAGATTGGGGTTGTCTGGCACATCATAGTTCTATTCATGTCACAAAATACATTTAGGACCAAATGCACTTTGCAGGAAGCAGACGGGTGAAATATGACTTTGTTTACATTGCATCTTCTGTCCTATCGCCAATTCTTTTATTTTTATTTTGTGGTTCTTTCTCTCTATGTAAAAAAAACAGTTTGAAAAGCTCTAAGCCCAGTAGAAATATAAACATTAAATCCACTGCTTTTGCAGGTGCTCAGTAAGTGGTGAGTACACTTATTATTTACACTTAAATTACAACCCGGCCATTTACTCAGTTTAACAACGGAAAGGAAAATAAGTAAAGCTTAGCTCCATACAGTTCAGTGCCGAAGAAGAATTGTGAGCTGTTGTCTAGTTGGTTCTTTGGTGTATTTTGTAGGCAGCATACATGCATATGCAAGCAAATCAAAATCATGCCCAACCACTAACTTATTGTTTGCTCATGCCAGAACAGTCATAAATATGGCTAGTGATGGCAGGTCATTAAATAAAATACTTTACAAACTGCTGTGATTGTGCTTTAAAATATGAATAGTTCACAAGTGGTCACTTTGTGTTAGATGTACTTGTGAAGAAGGTGCCACGTGCTGTACATTCACCCATTTGCATTTAAAGCCAGCAAAAGTAAGAATTTGGGAGTCACTTTGCACCTCTGGTATACTAGCTGCTTGTGGTGTGTTCTTTGATTCTGAAGACAAGCAGTATTCTTGTTCTAGTGAACTGTTGTAGAATATTTTCTTGAATTATCAGATTACACATAATGTGCATTAGGCTGCAGAACAAGTTTATCCTCTTAGTGTTGATCTTGTCTTCAGAAAAAACACCTTAGTCTGATGGGGCCGAAACCATGGCAAAACATCAACAAGAGTCACTTTTCTCATAAAAGATTAAGAGCATCACAAGTGTGTCGTCGTTTCTGTGGAATATGCCTTGGCAGTACCACAGCTTCTGCTCCCTGTCAAACAAGTCACAGGGGACTGCTGGACTTCATATACTGTATCACAGCTTGCATGCAGCACAATCGACACCATAGGGTTTTAAAACTAGATTTTATAAAAAAAAAGTGTAAATGTCAATGCTCCAGTTTAGAATAAGAAACAATAATCCTCCAAGTGTGTCTTTTTCACAACCCCAGAAGGGCTTTCTTGTTTTTCTTCTTTTTTTTCTTGTTTTTACTTTGTGTTTGTCATCGAAATTAATTTCCTGAATCTTACATTTTATGTTCATAATACTGCATACTGCAGAAGTGATCTCACCAATGTTAACTGAGCACCAAAAAGACCATTTCTAATTCATTACTGTTTGTTTTTGTCCAATTTCTTTATTTAATTATTCTTTATTTTTCTGTTTTGCCTTTATTCTTTAAAGCTTATTTGCTTTGAGAACTATCAAGATTTTCCATGGCTTGTATTTCAGGACACACCTCCCCCAGGCACCTATGACATTGGGAAATCTTTTGATAAAACACACAGTAAAAGTGTTTATGTCCCACCTCGCACCGAAGGAGCGAAGAGGAGACAGAGCTCCTTCCTTAGTGCTGCTTCCAGGCTTCCTGCTTTTATCAGATTTGATCCAGATATACCAGGTACTGTAGTTAATTTTGTATGTGGTCTAAGACATTTGTATTGGACTATTATGTTTTTGGTTTCATTCACAAAACCCTTTGAATTCTCAGATTTTTGGACATATACAAATTCCTCCTTCCTAGTTGCATCCTACTATATTAAGTTAATGATTAAAAACTTTTGACTTTGAACACCTTAAATGATTTCTAAAAAAATCTGCTGTGTTGAAATGCTGTTGTGTGAAAAGCTGAGATATTTTCATGAGCTGTCATCTGGAAAAGCGCTAGAAGCGATTTGAGAAACTGGCAGTGTGGTTTTGTATCAATGCAAAATGTTTTCATAAAGAATCCTTTTATTTGAAAGCATATGAAGCTGCATAGCCATTTCCATGTCTGCCTGTCACTATTGGCATCTTCTAGACAATGTAGGAAGCAATAAAAAGGGCAAACACAATAGAGGATATATAGTGAAGAATGTAGAATATAAATAAATGGATGTTACAGTAAAACTAGTGAAAATATTAAAATTTATAAGATCAACTGTGTTTAATTTTGGTAATCACGTTATATAAATAGTCCAGAGATTATTGACCAGGATGTCCTTTACTGACAGGCTACAACTACAAGAGTGCACATTTAAAATTCAGAACAGGAGGCACTCTTACATGAATATTTGTGGGAGTCTGGAATAAGCTACTTAGCAATGTTGTTGAAGCTTATACCATTGTTTCTTTTAGGAAATGGCTGTTATAGATCCTCAGTTCTATTAGCTCTTAGAAACCAAAATGAACATGATGGCCCAATTCTCTTTGGTAGGAGGAATACATCTTCATTAGAAATCATTTTCAGATGATAAGAATGCAAGAAAGACTTCAAATGAGAGAAGGCAATTTGGCCCATCATGCTCACATGGACGTTAGCAGTTTAAAGTTGTAAGAGTTCTATCTGTCGATTTCTTGATTTTTAAAAGAGCCCACTCAGTCAGCTTGACCCACATGAAATGGGAGTAGGTTCCAGACTGAAAGAAAGAAAGTGTCTCCTGCCTTCAAGAATGGCTCTAAACCTAATTGTACATGTCTCCGCATCCTTGTGTCATTCCTGGTCTGGAAGGAATCCCCTGAGTTGGCTTGGTCAATGCCTTTCTGGATTTTGAATACTTAAGTCTCCACATAATCATGTCCGTTCTAGACTTAAAACCTTAAGGTACCTTTCTTAGAGTTAGAATGGCATTCCCTGCAGGCCAGCAGTAATTACGCTATTTCTCTACTGTACTGTATACTGTTCTTGGAGCAAAAATATCATTCACTATCATGGATGATATTCCAACTGAAGTATGACTAATGTACAGTACTTTAGAAGTTTAGCATGACTTTTCTTGATTTGAACTCAATATTCTTAAAGTAATTATTTAGCTTTTTATTCCTTCCCCTCACCACTTGGTTGAAGAAAGTTTAAGAAAATGAAGAATCTGCATATACTTCTAGGTCTTTTCTCATATATTGCTTTGTCCATTTCAGTGCCAACTGTCTGATATTTGATATTCATGTTTTTGCTTCCTGCATATAATAACTTCCACTTGCCCATAGCTTCACTCATGACCTAGACTTCACTGACTCATCACTGACTACTAAGACAAAGCTCCTCTTCATGACAAGAATCTGAATGATAAGACGCATAAATTTAATATGGGCAGCTTCCAGTATTATTTCAGGCCCCTGATTTTTTTATCATAGATTTCACTTTCATTGATAATATGCACTTTTGAAATGCTTTACTGAGCAAAGACTCAATGAGAAAAGTTAGAATCAGATATACAGTTGAATCATTATTGAGCTAATTTCATGCTAATTTAAAATAGATGCATTAAGTAAAATAATATTAATGACTTTTCTTTTTTAAATTGGTTCTTAACCAGTGTATGTATATAAGTATATTAGTTTCCGATTACATTTGAGGCAGAATTTTGACTTTTTTTTTAAATTATGTTACAAGAACATGAGTCAGCTGGGTCTTCAAAAAAGCTAAGAAAAATTTGGAAATTAAACCCTATACAGTACTGCTTTAGGGCAAAACACCAGTGTAATAGGATAATCATTATTAATCCTATTAATAGCCTCATGTTTCACAAAATGGCTTTCATGTTGTGCCAGTAATGAGGATGCTCCAATGCAGTTTCCGTTAACAGATAGCTGAAGAAGGAACTATGAAGGAGATGCCAATGCATTTAGAAATACCATCAAGAGAGAGAATCAGCTTCCTACATACAGTATCATTTAGTTCCAACCATTTTCAACCAGTTTCAATAAGGGGACTATAAAGTGTTACATGTTTGGAATCCATACAGTATATCAGAGAGTAGGTCATTTTATTCTTTCTTTATTTTTAATTTTATTTTTACTCTTGAAACAATGAGATGTAGAATTACTGTTCTTGCAGTGAACTCCTATAATGAATAAATAAAACACATGCAAAAGACTAAAACTGCCAATACGTGGATACTCTGACTAATCAGCAGTTTTATAAACAATCAATTAAATACTGTATAACTCAGTTGTGTCACTGTAACTGTAATGTACCTTGGATAAAGCCAGGGTCAAATAAATAATAATAATGCTCTATCTGTGAGAAAAACAGGTTGTGATTATACTGCAACCAACTGTCATAAGGAGCTGTAGTACGGTACTACAGAGTAGTATGAAAATTACAAAATGTGGAGTTACAGAGCATGTTCAGAACTGGTAGAAGAGACAAAGGAAGAGATATACAGTAGAAACAGATTCTTCCACTCTGACATCAATACTTCTCCATGCTGACTCTTAGTGATAGTGCGTATTGGCTTTGACACTGAAGCGCTTACATACTTTAAATTTCATCCAATTAAAAACATCGAGTGTCATACCTTTGTTGATGCTTGCTGCACCCTACAAAATAACAAGATGTGATCCAATATGGTGCTTGGCAATTTCTCTTTGGATTAAATCAAATATTAGCACAAATAAGACTGCGCACAAAATTATATATTTCAAAATTGATAAATTAATGACTTCTTTGGATAATTTATACCTCCCCTTTCTTTAAAACATCAGTTCAAACTTCTAATGATGAGTTTATTTGCATTTAAATAGATTTTTTATTTGCAGAACATGTTCTCAAACATAATTTTGAGAAGGATTTCAGCATTTTTCATTAGCATTTTTAAGTATATTCTTCCTGCTCAGTTTTCAGCTATCATTTTTTGTATAATTGATTAGAATGCATTCAGCGATTCAGCTTTTTAAAAGCATTTTTGCAAGTGATGTAGACTGTGCAAATTTGTGTCCTCCAGGTAAAGTATAAAATTCACAATATGCAATGGAACTTAAAAAGCAATCTAATTTTTGTACAAGTAAGCACCTTTAAAGTACCAGAGGGTCAAGAAACAGTGCTCAATAAGAGCTTGTGGAAATGTTGAATGCACACCCCTGGGCAGCTCTTCTTAATTAGTTTCTGCTATTTTTGATCTGATAGTCTATTGGCTTTTTTCACAATGTAAATGTCACATTCCCATCGGAGATATGGCATAATTAAATTAATTCTTCATTTTGCATGTTCTGTCTCATTATTTATTTATTAGCTACTCAACCAGGTAAAACTAATCTAGTCTAATATATCTCAGTCTTAGCTACTGGTTTGTTCAACAAGAGCTGACTATCTCAAGTGCTTTAACATATCACATTTAACAGCAGTTACAGAACATGGTCTTTAATATTCAGTACCTTATTTAAGACTTTTCACCATTTTTATTTTTACCATGGAACCTAATTTTCTAAAGTTTATAGAAGATGTGTTGTTTAGCGAGTCCAGTTCTGAATGCCTTTTTGAAATCATAGTAAATAAAAATATTGTTGAAATGGTTTTAATTTCATTGTTTGTCTTTGAGTAATTATGACTCTAGCCTCTACCTTATCAATACGTGATTTGAGTGGTTTTATGAATTTAACATGTGCGCACTGTGTTATTCATTTAGTTAACACTCCACCAACTGGGACTAGATTATGGGAGCTCATGTTATTGATTCATGGCCTCATTACACTCTGTGTCCAAGAACAAATTTGTAAAGAGTCAGGAAGTGCCTTTATTTCTCTTTTCTTTAAATCTTCAATTAATATGATTTTTACCTTGTTCATAAGGTCCTGGCCAGTACAGTCCTTTGATGAAGTCAAGTCCAAAGATGGCTTTAATAGGGTCCAAAGACGATCGTTTCAAGGAACCTAAAGGATCTACTCCAGGGCCTGGAGCCTATGAGGTAACATTCTTTTCAAATCTAGAAAAAGAGACGGTATACGTGTTTTGAATAACAACAGGATTTATTTATGCTTTCCAAACCTGATTCCATGCACAGGGCAGAAGATCATTAGAGAGTGGAGTAATGTGGTATAATGCCCAGTTAACTTCCTTATGAGGACCTGAGATACAATCCTATGGCAGACAAACATTTCTGCTAGGTTGAAAGAACCATAGGAAACCCACATGAACTCAGTGAGAACGTGCTTTGCACAGGTAGGCGTCTGAAGCTGTGATCTGGTTTCCAGGCTTTTGTCTGAACCTGTGTTTCAGGAGCCATACCTACTTTATGTTGGCCACCACACACCACACTGCTGCCTTAAGATCATTTCCTGTCTAATATCCACACGTTTAGATGAGCTTGTACTTTATGTGTTTCTCTGTACCATTTGTACCATACCCAAAACAAATGTCTTCTGCATAGCCTTGATTACAGATATTAAGATGTCTAAATGGTCTTGACATCAAACTGAGATATTGAACCACAGCAGCTCATACAGTACATAAGGTACTGTATGTGTTGAGAAGCTCCTTGCCCTCCTGTACTGTGCTCTCTAAATGTCCCTATAGTTACGGCCGCCTATATAGAGTTACTGTACAATTTAGCATAACCCAGTAACAATGCAGAAGATAGACTTAAAAGTTTTAAAGAACAAAAATTGTCATACTGAAAATGCTCGATCATTCATCCCATTAAAATGTCCATTCAATATCATATATTCAAGGCCTCAGGATTCTCCTTGTCTGGTTTTCTGAAGACCCTTATGATAAAATATGAAGATGTCAGCAGTCGGAATCAAAATAACAGATTTATTCATTTAAAATTGCAATACAATTGGCAGGATGGGCTACCTGCAGTGGTATTTCATGTGGAAGACTGGGATTAAGGCTAATTCCTTTAACCACAGGAAAACTTTGAAGAAATACAGGGATAATTAATATGGAGGATAGAAGGGGGTAAGTAAGTTTTTTCAACAAGAATAGGGAGCAGATAATAGCAGAAGCAGGTTGATCTCAGTTCCTCAGAAACTGCTTTTACTAGTTCTCACACAAGTTCACACAAGTCAAAGCTAACATACATTAACACATTGTACACAGTGTAACATTGATAATGCCAGTACCAAACCTAATCTGTATGTACAGTACATGCATCTCATCACACAGAATTATCCCATAATCTGTGGCACCAGTCCTAGACTCATATCCATGAAATGTACTATCGTTTGATAGATTTCACATGCAGTAAATTTCACATTATCGTTCACAAGATTTAAGACAATTATTGTTAATTACTAATAATGGTGGCACCTGCACACTTCATACAGTACATAATCCTAACAAAAAAAAAACAGCATTATGTTTGCAAAGACAATTGTAATAAAAAAGTCATTTCAATTCCTCGTTATAGTTTGGGTGCTTTTCAAGTATGTGAAAAATGAGGACATAAAAAAGATGAGGCCATTTGGTTGGTCTAACTCATTTGCTTGTTTGCAGGTAATTGATCCAATGATTTCTTCTGGCTGTTAAAATAAATAATTTTATTGTTTATGTTAACCTTTCACTGCTAATCTCAGTTTTGAAAGCGTCAGGATAAATATAGTATTGAGTATTAAGAACAAGCCTGTTCACAGTACACTTGGACAGAATTTACAGATGGGATTTTTCGTTACAAAGTTAATTCACATATAATCTTTACTGCTTATTACTTGGATGAATCAGTGTTCAATAACCCTCAGAATTATGTCATTGTAAAATAAGCACTTTAGCAAACTTAAATGAATCAGTAAATAATGTTTCAGATAAAGGATGCCAACTCTTTTATCTTTGACTATATACACTAATAAATCTGAGTGCTCAATGATTTTCACACATTCTTAGTGTCAGGGGAACAAAGTTTAAAGTTATTTATATAAAAAATATATATATTTAAAGGTTTCTGGTTTAATGTGTTTACAACCCTTATTAAGCTCCTTTAAATATTTAACCTAGACTTTAAGACTGTTACTAGAATACAAAAAGAAAATAAATTAATCCCAGGATTCTTCAAAGGATTGAACAGTCTTTTGACCAGTAAATGCTTTGTCTTTATCTGTTTTTACGTGTATGGTGTATTTACTGTATGTAACTCCTGATATCTGCAACAGATCATTTTAACATCTTGTTTCTCATAACAGAAAATAATTCAGATAAACTGTATCATGAAAATAAGAATTACTAAGCCACTTCACTACTTTTCTTTTCTTAAAGCATTTTAGTTTATCTCGATATTGCAAGTTAAAATCGAGTTCTATTAGTTAAAATCAAAGTACCAATAAGAATACTCAGCTAATACTAGATATTTCAAACTTGACTTTTCACCTTGTAGATTACATTTTATTATAAACTCTCATTTTGAGGGTTTGTAATGGACACGCCTGCCTGCACATGCTGAGAATGAGATTTCCATGCACTGTCATGTCATGTCAGAAGAACTATCATTCTCAACTGTGTAGAAAAAGAGGGACAAATTTGGACATTATGTTATATATACTGCATTGTCAGTGGCTGAGTAAAAAGAAACAGTGCAATGAAGACAAACACTGTAGCTGGGAAATTGCTTAACTCATAAGGGAGAGTGAAGCAGAATTTGAAATCCAATGGGTTAACCTGTAAGAAACCAAGAACTCCACTTACTTAGTTGTTTATTGCCTGTAATGTGTCTCTGCCTAAGAATAAAAAGCCTTTATGAGGACTGACATCACCCCTATAGCTCAAAGGTGGGATAATTCTCTTTACAGATCTGTTTCTACAAATCAATAAGGCATAAACTATGTGAGCTGTACATTATGATAGGAAGAGTTTCACTTTACTCAACCTGACATCACATTAAAGGAGCACCAGCAAATTGTATAGAAATACCAAAGACTATAGTATAAATGCTTAGGCAGGGATAACATGGCATTTCCTTTTGAGTGCATTTACCTAAAATGCATGGTAGCAGTTTAGTCTTTACATAGTTATATATTACAATATATAATTGGCATCTGAAAGGATCACTTGCTTTAAACATCTCTGTTTGTTAAACATATTTATTTTGCTTTCTAGGAGTTTTTTTAGTACAAGTGCTCTGTGTGATAATCCATTGTTGCTCTTTTGGATTTTTGCAGTGTCCTGTAGCTACTACAGTAAAGGGCTACTACATCAAAGACTGATAAGGGTGTGGAAGAGGTTCTCAGGAAAGCCGTCTAGTGTCACAGAATTTCTGGATGGGCACTGTTGAAGCAGAACGATGGTGCACATCCTCTTTTACACTATAATGAGCAGTAGTGCTCAGTGAAAAAATAGTGCTGTTCAAAACTTTTCTAACATAATCTTCTTGACTCTGAAAGCACTAGTTGCAGAGACTGTATGGCTTTCAGACAGTGAGTCCTCACACAGGAAATGGGATATGTAATTTCCTCTTGAACATTACCTAGGTAATGCCAAGGTTGCTGCCAGGGTGTTCTTTTGTCATTGTTCCTGTAAGATTTACCTTACTAGTATGTACTGTATACAGTATATGAAACATATACTATTTATATTTAATTATCCCAAAACAACAAGGTAAAGCGCACATGGCTGTATGCACTGCATGTGTAAGGCAATATAAAACAAAGAAAATCTTTCTCTTCCTCTTAATGCTGTAAACACAGTGTCATCTAATTGCCCAACCCCAAAAAACAACAACAACAACAACAACAACCTATGTAGTGGTATTTTCCCTTTTTCTCATGTTTCGTAGGAGTCTGATTTGTTATTTCTCACATTAAGTAAGTTAGGAACCAAGGAGGCATGTGTACAGTACTGTACATCATTGCAGTTTTCTTGTGCGTCAAGAAGCAGCTCATTCATAATTAGCACATCACCCTTCCACACACAAGGCTATCTGCAGTCCAGTAAATCTTATCCCTCTCTGAAGTATGAACATGTGGACGTGGAGGCAGGGGAACTGTAAGTCAATGTCAGCACTAGCCGTCTCCGTCAAGGTGCCTTTCAGGCAGGGAGGATGACAGATAGGTAACATTGTTGCTATCTGATCGGGTGTCAGAATGCGTTCGTGGCAGGGGACAGTGGGAGATGGAGTGTGGCGGGACTCAGCTACACCTCTGTTGTCCGATGGCAAGATGAATGGGCCTATCACCGCCGGTCCCCTGCCTCTCTTTAGTCATTAGCACGTCAGAGGGGTAATTGATGACACGACTCTCTGCTTCCTGGGCAGTGTTCCTTCCCCACTTTGTAGAGAGCTGCTGTGGTTCTTAAATAGGATAGAGCAGTGTGTCATCGGCTTTGTCTGCCTGCTCCAATTTGCACCACCTCAGTGATGGCAGGAAACGACAGACTACTAATTGTTGAAGACCAATATTAAAAATAAAGTTTCATCCACAGCTTTTTTTTATTTTTTAGTGCCTAAAATTGAATCAATTTAATCAATTGCCATTTGATGTGATATCAGGAGTCTTTCCTCATCTGTCACTTACCGAGTGTGTCCATGAGTGAATGACACTCTGTGGAAAATCTGCACCAGTGGAAAATAGTAATGATGATGTAGGTTATATTTTTTTAACTAATACTTCAATTACGATATTTCAGCTTCAAATTCCACATCTGACCTCCTGATTTTTGTGGTAGCAGCCTTTTTTTATTTATTTGCCACCACACGCATGAACACTAACTTTTCCATGTGTATAGCTCTTGCTAAATGCCCCCCTGAGTCCTCTTACAAAGTATTTAAGATTTATAGAGATGCCAGTCACCTTTGTTTAAAAAATGTTGTTTGTTAATTATTAAGATTATATTTGTTTGAAAAGAGAATGTATATATTACACAAAGATTCTGAAAGTTAACTCACTTGACGGATTTTGATGAAGTTAGATATAAATCAGATATGTTAGCAAAGTGTGGGTTATTAGTAATCACTCAGCAGCTTATACCCTGCTGTCAGAA